TGCAGAGATTTTATCTTGCTGCTGTTACATTAATTGTTCAGGGCAGAGCCAGCTCAAGCCTTCCCAAGGGCATGGAAAGGACTCACTGCTGCTGCATCAAGGGTGGGGACAGATTAATTTTTGGAGGAGGTTCTCAGTTTGGTACCACTTCCACTCTCCACAGTCTCTCCAAATGTCCTTCTCTGGAGTGTCAACAGATAAGTATAATGTGAAAGCAAATAAGTGAAAAACTCAAAAATCAGTGGAAAAACTTTCATAGTGACAGCAAAATTTCAGTCAGAATCAGTAAAAGGATAAAATAACTGCCTTTTACTTGATTGCTTTTCTGCAGTGCCCAAGGAACAGTGTTTAACTGTTCTTTGCAAAGTGCTGTGCTATCATAAATTAAACAGTCTTAACCTGCTCAGATGAGGTGCCAAGCTATAAGATATTGGTAACATGTCTTAAGCAAATACAGCTTGTTAACTAATTATTTCCTTTTCTAATGCTCTCTATGTGCTTGGTTTGGGTTTTTGGTTTGTGGGGGGCTTTTTGCCTTTTTTAAAAATTTGAATTAGTTTCTTAGTTAATAGAACATGGGGGTTTTTTATCTACCAGCTTTGTTACATAATGCTGGCTACTGAAATTCCTGCAGCTATGCTGGTATCTCTTCCAGTGTAGAACACCACCTTTGTACACAGCTTTTACCTTCAGAGAAGAGGAAATCCCCACTCTTGTTCTTTTGATGAGCAAGAAAACAAAATAATTTCTCCAACTTGTTTTTCTGAGAACAGACTTCAAGTGTGTAACTGCTGGCTTTCAGTAACTGTGAGAAAATAAAACTGCAGCTAAAAAAATAAAATAAAATAAACTGATAGGGGAAATCAGTTTTAAAAAACAGGTGCCAGCATCTGGAGTACTCTCTGTACAGGCACACTCACAAACTGACCCCCTAGAAACAAATGGTTCCGTGATGAAACCTGTTCAAGTGGAAAACCAAATGTTGGTGAAGATTTTTTTGCATTGGCTCTTGGATGTTCAGACAAAGTTTCCTCCCGTAGAAGACTCTGAATGGATATGAAGGTACTTCACAATATCTTGTAAATATAGTACTGTACAGGAGTTAGAACTCACTCTTCTGCTCCCACTTGTGATGGAATGTTCTGAATGGTTTTGGTTTACTCAGGCAGCAGGAGAATATTTGTCTAAATTTCCAGAATTTTCACTGAAGAGTGAATCCATTTCCTACACTCAAGTTTCAACAGTTTCTAAAAGAATGTGGGGCTCTATTGAGAGCAGGTAAATGAGATTGATCACTGAAGTCCTGTGACAGGGTTCTCAAGCAAAGTCTGCCATTAGGTTTCCTAAGTGCTTTCCTTGAACCTCCCCAGATAGAAAAAGGTTAAATGTATCCCTATAATAAACTAGGTTTATAACTTAAAATGAATGTGAAGCAGTATTTTTTTTTTATTTTTTTTTTCTTAGCTTAAAAACAAACAACCTCAAACCTTTACAGAGGGTTGTAAAGCACAAGATGAGGTTGCTCTGAGAAGCTGTGGAGCCTCCATCCCTAGAGACATACAAAACTGGACACAATCCTGGACAGCCTGCTCTGGCTGCCCCTGCTTTGAGCAAGGGGCTGGACCTGACCTCTCCAGGGGTCCCTGCCAGCCTCAGCCCTTTTGTGCTTCAGTGATTAATTTGGCTCAGCAAAAGCCTATTTGCTCATGTGATCTAAGGGCTATAATTTCTAGGTTTGTAATGTAATCTGTAATAATCTCTATGCATAAATCACCATTATTTCTGATTAATTTTTAATTTAAACTAAATGCTTGTGCATTCTTTTCAACTTCTCCTCTGCTGAAGGCAGAACAAAATGTGGCCTTACTATATGTCTTACTAGATGTAGTGAAATATGTTCTTATATTCCTTTTAGAGATATGCAGTTGGAATGGCATCGAGCACAGCACATTGAAAAATCAATGTAAATACGCTTAATTCCAAAGTCACTCATAGACGTCATTTGTTGCTGGGTTTAATAACTTATTTACCCAGCATGTAATGGAAAAGACTGATTTCTATCTGATAGGTTTGAAATTTTACCCTGCTTTGAACTGGATTATTTTCCCTCAAGCCTCTCAAGGCCATATACTGTGCGCCTCTTCTGCTTCCTACAAAACACCTGTACAGCAGAAAATACTGTTTGCTCTAATTAAATGTGACTAAACCACATCCTTCTTGGTGACAGTGCAAATCTTTCACCTTCACTTTGAGGAGTGAAGGCCACTGCTATCATTAGATGGCAGCATGTTCAGACTGGCTATCACGTGCTCAGGAGCTGAGAGAACCAATTCAAGTGCACCCCTTGAAATATCACACTGACTTTACAGCTTATTTCTCTGTTTGTGTCTTGTGGGAATGGTAAATTCGGGGCTAACTCACTAACTGCCACGTACAGTTTCAGGCACCAGATTTGTCTCAGTTAGCACAGTTCTTGTCATCCCAATTTTGTCTTCCAGCTGGAATTACTGCAGGCATGTTCACAAGTGCTGTTCATTACCTGGCCTCTTCACCTCCCTGACCAGATGTTTCCTGCTCCAACCAGCACCAGTTTAGCTGTAGCCTGAAGCTGTTTTATTGTCTACCAGCTTTCGTCTTCACATGAAGTGCTAGTCAGGAGCACCTCTGCCACGGAGGCAAGTCGTGTGTCACCTCTGGCCAAGACAGTGCACGATGCAGTAGATCAGGTGTGCGAGATACAGCAAACAGGGACTCCTCAGGTCCCATGTCTTCCAAGGTTATCAACAACCTTTCAGCATATGGGAGTCCAGGAAAAATAATTTTGCACTAATGGAAAACAAGACCTTAATAAAAGGAGCTAAAGGTCTTGTGATATAATGCTGGAGAGCAGCTGTCTCTCTAAATGGAGGCTACAAGACCTGAGACACTCCAGTTCTCCCTGCGCTCATCAGGCAATGCTTTGTCTTTCTAAATTAATCTGATACTGGTTTCAGAAAAAGTCTCACAACAAGATTGGGAAAAAAAATCCATCTCTGTAATAAATTAAAAGAAAAAAGGCCTGCAGTGCAAGAGGGGTAGCAAATATAGAGCAAAGTAGCAAATGCCAACTTGTGATGCTGAAATAAGTGCAACTGCTGTAGGTCACAGAGAATCACTTTCAGTGATAAGCTGACCTGCTGAGAAACAAGCAAAACCAAGACAGTATGGGAATATTTTAAAAGGATTTTAAACAAAGAGGAATCACAAGGTAAAGGAAAGAGAATGCATTTAAAGTGTAATCAAAATCATAACTCATACAAACAATTTGAACCATGTGACAGCATAAACCAAGAACAAAATAACTGGAAACCAATTGTTACCCATTCTTTAAAGGGGTGTCAATGTACAGTCACTAGACTGGTACCTTAAGAGAAGTCCAAATACTACCTTCTCTGTAGTGTGCTAAGATTCAGGGTTCTAGTTTCATTCTGAAACCCACAAGAAGTTAAAATAGTGTATAATTTCAAACAATGTAATGTTCAACCTTGATTTTAAAGCTGTGGTCTGAGTCTTCTGCTGTAGTATATAGGCAGTGGAGCTATGCTGCACCATGCCATACAGGGACCTGCTGGAGGCATTCTGATGTTGCTGTGTGTTGATCCTTCTTTTATTTATGACACTTGGAATTTTTTACTATTCCTGTTGAATAAGTATTATTTTGCTGTTATCTTTCCTTTTCAGTTGAGTATGTACTAAATATTTTAAAACACCTTTGTTATTTTGGTTGTGGTAAGTAGGAGGTAGTGTTTTCACTCATTTTGACTCTCACTCTAGCTCCTGTTTGTTTACTGATGTGTTGTATATGATGCATATCTGAAATGTGAACTCTCCAAAATGGGAACTGGATTGCTGTTGTATTTTTGGCTGTGGTTAATACTCTGGGGCTCTGATTAGCAATTACGGTCCCCAGGAATTATCACACAACACAGCTGAATGATTTTCATATTCTTGATTTGTAGGATAGTTACTGGCAGCCCTTTAGAATGGGGACAATGGAATATCTGTCACAACATTGTGTCTCATTAGGCTGTAGAGATGACTGAGCTATTCACCTTGGGAAGCAAACAAGTAACCCTAACTGCTAATGATTATTAGAGTTCAGATAGATCCAGTCATTTTTATCAACAATCTATGACTAGCTCTTAATTTTCCTGCTGTTGACATGCTGTAAAACTCTATCTTTAAAATACTGTTTGTGCGTCTTTGAGTTTTTACTACTAAAGCTGCAGTTACAATCGTTATGCCTTCAGCAGGCATAACATCTATACTATCTTGGGTAGAAGGTGAAATTCCACTGAGCAGCCTGGAAAAGGTGGTTATTTTGGAGGCTCAGTCCCGAGGCCACAGGCAGGCAAGGGGCTGTGGTGCAGTCTCGCTGCCTGCTTGGCAGCTGCTCTGGTCGCCCCCCTTCATCTCTCACCCTCTTCCCAGAGAAGAGTCAGGTGGGAACCTCCCCTGCTGTGCTCCAGCAGGCAGGGCAGGAGGAGGATCCCTCCACCCTTGCTATTAACAACGGGAAAGCTCATTTTGACAGTGCTGGAAGTCAGGGAGGGTGCCAAGCAAATGCTTTCGTTGTCCCCACAGAGTAGGGTATGATCTGATTTCAGCACTGCTGTTGGCTGATGCAGGAGGAGGACACCTGCAGCTTCTGTAGCTGGGTTTCATTACAGATAACCACACAGCAGGAGCAGGAGAGAGGCAGGAGACTGCTGGCAGAGAGAAGCAGAAGTTGCTTTGAGAGATTTTTCTCACTCATCCCAGATCCCACATTTCCTGCATGCTACTAAACTTTCCTCTGACCAAACCTTTGTTTCCTGGACTATTACTGGAAGGCAGAAGCATGGAGAATTTGTTCGCACTTCTGTTGCAGACAGTAATTTTCTCCTTTTAATCCTGAACATTACTTAGAGATTAGACACTCCAGCATTATACAGTATATTTTTGCTAGTGAGAAAGAAAAAATGGATGCATTCAGAGCACCTGAAAATGAGTCGCTGTTGTCCAGTTCCTCTGGTCCTGCCAAATGGGATCCCTTTCATCGTCCCTTGGACTCCATCCAGCCCTGGCACTTCAGGCTTCTGGCAGCAGTCATGTTGGTGGTGACCTCCCTGTCGCTTGCTGAGAACCTGGCTGTAATCCTGGTAACTTTTAAGTTCAAGCAATTGAGACAACCTGTCAATTACGTTATAGTCAATCTGTCTGTGGCTGATTTCCTAGTCTCACTGACTGGTGGCACCATCAGCTTCTTAACAAATCTGAAAGGTTATTTTTATATGGGATACTGGGCTTGTGTACTGGAAGGATTTGCTGTCACATTTTTTGGTAAGCTTGATTTTATTTGTACTTGTATGTTCTTTTACTTCATCTTCCTTCAATATCCTGTATTAGCTATCCTGCAGCTACCAGGGCACTGTGACTGTGCATGCTTTTGGACTCACTGGTTCTATCCCCAGTTACATTATATAGTGGATCTCACGTGTGAGCGAACAACTCATACCACTATCTCTGCTATACAGCAGGGGCTTGTTGCGCATATGCTGATCATTTAGTATGTGCAATATAATGAGGAAAAGCTTGCTAATAGAATAATAGCATTGTGGGGGTTTTGGTAAAGAACGTCGGGGAAAAAAAATCACTGTAACTGTTTTCAGAGTTTGTATTTAGGTGTGTGTTTATATGGATACGTAAGAGAGAGAAAAAGAGTGAGTGGCTGCTCTTAAACTGTGGAAAATGACAGAACACAGAAACATGTTGGATTAGGCACCCTCCAGTGGTCTGAGGAGCCAGATCACACCTGCAGCAGTCACTCCACACACCCACAGCGTTTGGTGATTCTTTTTCTTGGCTTTGTTTTACTAACTACACACAAAGTATTAGAAATACTCTAAAAGGGAAAATGCTCACCACATTGCTCCCAGTCTAAATACACCTCTGCAGAATAAATGGGAAATCAGTTAAAAATGGGACATCTGCTGGAGACAGACACTCATTCCTGCCTCCCTGTTCCTGTTGCTGAAGCTGCATAGCAAAGACAGGCTCCTAACGCTTGTCACTGCTCTGAATCAGACACACTGCTGGTCCTCAGCCTGGAAAGGAGTCCCACAGTCTCTGTGAGGCTGGCTCAGCTACACAGAGGGAATGTCAGTGAGAGACGATGCTGCCAAATCAGTTTGTGGCACCTTAGCCATATCCCATGGAGAATGATCAGGCTGCTTCAAGATTCTGGTGGCCAACCAGTGATAGGTGACTAATAAACTAATAATTTGATGCAAGACAGTGTTTTGCAAAGATGTGTTGAAGATACATATTGTTAATTTGGAAGCTACACATAATTTCAGCTTTTCAGAGTAGAATGAAGAAGTAATTGTCAGTTAAATTACCCAATTTTGCTTTATTTTGTAGTCATTGTACTGTAGACTTGTGCTCTTAATAAGTATTACAGTAATGCACATAAATTGCACATCCTTTAATAACCTGGGTTGATGGAAAAGGTGCCTGATGTGGTGGGTGGTCAGACGCTGGAACAGGTTGTCCAGAAGCGGTTGTGGAGTCTCCATCTGTGGAGATACCCAAAAACCCACCTGAACTAATCCTGGAGAATGAGCTGTATGGACTGTGCTTGGGTGCATGTGTATTTTGAACAAGATGACCTCCAGAGTTGCCTTTCAGCATAAACAATTCTGTGGTGTGGGAAGTTTGTTTCTCAGTGAATCCACCTGGTTTCTGATGGTGTTTCCTTGCTGCAGGCATCGTTGCTCTCTGGTCTCTTGCTCTCCTGGCGTTCGAGCGGTACGTTGTGATCTGCCGCCCGCTAGGACATCTGCGCCTGAGAGGGAAGCATGCAGCCCTGGGCATCGCCTTCGTGTGGGCCTTCTCCTTCATTTGGACCATCCCACCAACAATGGGTTGGAGCAGTTACACCACCAGTAAGATTGGAACTACTTGTGAGCCTAACTGGTAAGGCCGCTCTTGCTGAGTATGGTAAAGAAATGAAGCTTGAAGCTCAGGATGTCTCAGGGGCAGGAGTTGAAAGGGAAGGTTTAAAGATGATGTACATCTCTGCAAAGATGGATGTAAAGAAAGTTGTAACAAAACTGAATAAAATTAGCCAAGAACAGGTTAAAAAAAATTAAAAGAGGGGCTTCCACCTCTAATGAAAAGAACAATCCTGTACCTTGTGCTTTTTGTCAGGATTCAAAGAGGACCAAGAGATTGCTCAGAAGACTGGTAAAAGCCCTTAGCAGCCTGGTCTGACTCCAGTCTGAGCAGCAGGTTGGCCTGTGTGTCCCTTCCCACCTGGACAGTCCTACAGTCTGTGACACCGTGTCATAGGATCCTGTCCTAGCTCACGGCCAGGGAGATGGCCCAGGGCTCCATCTGGGAATAAGGCCAGAGTTGGAAAGGGAAAACTTAAAATAAAAACAGGTGACTAAAATACTAGTGACAGCTTTGAAGAGAAAAATTAATACCTCAAGAAAATAATAACACATTAGTAACACACAATGTGTTTTATACAGGTACTCGGGGACTTATGCTGACCATACATACATTATTGCATTCTTCACCACCTGTTTTATGGTGCCTTTATCAGTGATTTTGGTATCCTATGGAAAACTGATACGGAAGCTAAGAAAGGTAAAAAGAAGCACTGGCAAGTAAACTTTTAAAATGTGCATGTAGGCAAATATCTGGAATTTTTGTATTCTATTTTCTATCAAGATCAGTCATAAGCAGATCAAATGTCCAGGCAGCAAATGCACTGTTATCATCCCTTCTTGTATAATTATCTTACACACAGAAATTCATGCTGTGACTAGAAATTATTTTCCAGCGTGCAGTCTGCACCACTATCAGTACATCTCATTAGCCAAATACCATACAAATGAAAGAATATCTGCCTCAAAAAAAAGGAAACAGAATGACCGAATTGTGCTGGAACTCAGTGATGTTTCTTAAGACTCAAATCAGATAAATCAGAATTTAGCTTAAAGTGACTGCATTTGTAAATTTTAAGTGTGTTGGCTAATACTCTACTACATATACATGCAGCATAAGATATGTAGCATTTGTAAATAATGTAATGCTTTTCAGTAAATAAAATACTAGATTGTCCAGGAGCATCTAAAATTGAGAAATGCTTTTGGATTGTATTTAATTATTATGTTGACCTGATCCAAAAGAGAATCTACAAAAATTGAAAGACAATAGAACAGGAAAATTCCTATTGTGGGATAGGATTTTTGGACAATATTTTCAGACAATATTGTTACTTCTATTTACTGCCTTGTCACCTCACTAATAAATTGAGTAAGTTCTTCAATTTACTGATGTTTGTAATGTATTTGGAATAGTCAAATGCTTGTATTTATGTGGAGTGGTTTTTTTCTGACTAAAAGCAGGAGGGAAATACAAAAGCTGTTGTATTTTCTCATTAGAAAATAGAGTTTGGATCACATGTACTTCGACACTGTGATTCCTGTCAGTGGATTTTTCCAAGGTGGAGGAGCTGAAATGCCTGGGGGAGGTTGGTCTGGGTGTGGAGCACAGGCTGCTTGCCAGGCTGTGTGTGCCTGCAGCACAGGCTGTGGCTGCTCCCAGTGCTGGTGGTCGGGGAGCAGGGTCTGCAGGGGATCTGTGCTTCTAGCAGGGCTCACTCAGTTCACTGGTCAGAGGCCTTGTAGTTTGCTTTCTAGAAGCTTCCATCTTTTTACAGGTGTCAGATATGCAGGGCAGGCTGGGAGCTGCCAGGAAACCTGAAAGACAAGTGACTCGGATGGTTGTGGTGATGATCGTTGCCTTTCTCATCTGCTGGGCGCCCTACGCCGCCTTTTCTATCCTGGTCACTGCAAACCCCTCCATCGAGCTGGACCCTCGACTGGCAGCAGTTCCAGCTTTCTTTTCCAAAACAGCTACAGTTTATAATCCAATTATTTATGTCTTCATGAACAAACAGGTACTGTATGCTCTCAAAGAGTCTTTAACACTCATATCTTGTCATTTTGTCTTGTTTATAATGGATCATTTCTACCTACCTACATGTTAGTTAACTAGCATTGCAATATCCAGCATTTAGAACAAAAAAAACAACAAAAAAAGTCACTGTATATGTATATACCTACCTGCTGGAAGGAAGTGCAAGCCTCTCTGCATTATTAAAATATGAGCATTAATTATTATCAGTTTAGAGATTATAAAGAAAAATCAGCCAGTAGTGAACATCAGTTAGTTTTTTGTATGAAAATTCTATTTTCAAGACTATCCCAGTGCGTTGTTTGTTGTTCTTTGGGAATGCACCACAGAATCACAGAATCTTAGGGGTTGGAAGGGACCTGGAAAGATCATCCAGTCCTACCCCCCTGCCAGAGCAGGATCACCTAGAGTACATCACACATGAACGTGCCCAGGTGGGTTTTGAATGTCTCCAGAGAAAGACTCCACAGCCTCTCTGGGCAACCTGGCCCAGGGCTCTGTCACTCTCACAGGAAATACGTTTTTTCTGATGTTTACATGAAACCTCCTGTGTTCCAGTTTGCCCCCATTGCCCCTAGACATCACTGAAACACACATTGCACTAGACATCAATGAACAAAGCCTGGCTCTGTCCTCCTGACACTTGCCCTTAACATATTTGTAAACACTGATGAGGTTGCCCCTCAGTCTCCTCTTCTCCAAGCTAAAAAGACCCAGCTCCCTCAGCCTTTCCTCATCAGGGAGATAATCCATTCCATCATATTTGTGGCTTACCAGTGAGTTGACTTTGAGGTGGGGTGGCAGTTTGCAGTAGGTTGAGTTTGTGTCAGGGGAAATGCTGCATTTTTGCCTGTGTGTACAGGAAGGCACTATGTGTGCCTATAGGACAGGGAGCTGCCTTCTCTGGAATGGGGCCAGAGACTTGCATGCAGAGTACTGGCAAGGGGATGAACCAGAGATATGTGTTCAGTGAGGTAACAGGCATGAGAATAAACTTGAATAATTTATGCAATGAATGTAGCTACTAAGAGTGGTGGTGTCAAGCAGAGTGTGAGTGAAAAGCAGAAAAACAAAGTGACTGTTGAATAGGAAGTGATGAATACATTTATTTATCCAGTCCTGCATAGAGAGCTGTTGCTCACATCTTATGGAAAGTACCTGACCTCCCAATACTTGACAGATGTATGCTGGTCCTACCCTGCTCATGAATATGAATAACATGGAAAAAACATCTTTGAATACCTGGGTATTAGCATAGGAAAGCAACTCCTGAGCCTGGAGAAATGACCTGTTCTGTTCATTAGATGTGGTTAGTAAGAAGCAGAAAAAGAAAATTAACTTTTAGAATAAGATTTTCCAGTAGTCTGGATCTTTTTAAACATTATTATTTCTCAGTTTTAGAGTTCTTCATGGTGGCACAGGCAAGCATATTTTATGGGGCTATTTCTTGATATTCCCAAGTGAGTTATGAGAGAATTTCCAAGAGTTGTAGCTATGACACAGACTGCTTGATAGAAAATTCCTTGTGTTTTGATTGATGTTCTTTTTTTCAACTTTCTAGTTCAGGAAGTGTCTGATTCAGATGTTCAGCTGCAGTGCCAGAGAAGCTGCAGAGTCCAACATGAACCCAGCTTCAGAGAAAGCAGTGCTAACCCAGGACAAAAGAGGCAGTGAGATGTCCACCATGGCAGTACATAGCACTGTTTCCAAGAGGAAGATGGGAGAAGAACACAGGAACTGCTGGACCTTTGCTCAGTTGAAAGCTTCAGAAAACAAAATCTGTCCCATGTAGGGTGTGAGATGTGGTCACTGGTGCAGTGCTGCAGTCTATGTCTTTGGAACTGCCACTTAATACAAAACATGTTGTCAGGGGCCCATGGTGCTGCTGTGGACACCAGGCTCCTGAGTGCATGTGAGTGTCCTGGCTCTGCAGCTGCAGCCAAACAGCAGCCAGAAGGTGAGTCCCTTGCCCCACCATGTTCCCCTGCCCAGCACAGCCTGCTTGCTCCTGGCAGTAACAGCAGGGAGCCAGTGTTGCTGTCATGTAGCACAGTAAGGACAGGAGAGTTTCACACTGAGGACAAGCAGCTGCTTGGTCAGCTGGACAAAAACGTGAAGTGGCACATGGCTTTTAATATGCTAATGGCCAAGTCAGTAATATATGGCACACAGCTGACTTGGCTTCAACTGATGGAGGTTCCGGGAGGAACAAGTCTGAGTGCTATTTTGATTTCTTTGGGTTTTTTTTACTAAAAAAGCAGAGGAAAAGGCTTCTACGCTTATGCCAGTCCTAGATGAGAACCTTTATCCAGGTCATTAAAAACTCCAGCAGCTTGGACAAGCCATCCAGACTCCCAACCACTATTTTATCAAAACAAGTCCTATCAAGAGCTGTTAAAATCCTCTCTCTGCATTCCCTCTTTGCCAACAAAATCTTCTGTGCTCCTGGCAACTTTTGATGTAAATTAATTGTGACTGGATGATTGTTGTAGGTCTCTTCTAACTGAACTAGTAACTCAACTTTAGAAGAGAAGTTAGTAGGGTGTAGGAAAGTGCAACTGTGCAGGAATG